GGATTCGAACCTGCCACCTTAGGTGTATGTGGCTGGCGCCTTAGCCGCTTGAGCCACAGGCGCCGAGCCTTGACTAGCCTTAAAACAAACAAAACTGCTGCTTTTGAGAAAAGAAACTGGATGGTTGGGTGAAGTGGTAGCTAAAGGAATAAGTAGGGTTAGAATTATTTTTCAACAGTAGAGAAGAGGTAGGCGTGATGGTGGCGCCTATGGTCCCAGCTACTTGATAGCTGAGATGGGAATGATCGCACCTGTGCACAACCACTGCACTCACCTAGGCAGCTTGGTGACACCTATCTCTTTGAAAAGAAAAGTGGGGAATATGTTTGTAGGCTGGGAGTTGGAAAACTTTATCTAAGAAAGGTCAGATGGTGAAAGTTTTAGGCTTTGTAGGCCCTAAGTTCTGTTGCAGCTACTCTGCTCTGAAGTGGTAGTGTGAAAGCAACTACAGAATGTAGTAAATAAGTGCTTGTAGCTGCGTTCCAGTAAAGCTTGGTCAGTGCTGGTGCTTCTCCAGACTCCAGGCCACTCCCCACTGTCAGGTCAGGCAGACCTCCTTCAGCAGTCCTCGGAGTTCTGCCTGCAGTGCTGGCTGGACACTCTCAGGACAACAGACTTACGGAGAGCACTTCCCCAAAGCTGAGAGTCTTCCTGAGCTGTGCCTGCTCCTGGGTGATCTGGGCCAAGTAGCAGCCCTGTGCCTGCTGAGAGCCCCAGGCTGCTCCAGGCAGTGAGGCCCATGGGTTGCCTCTTCCTCAAGCCCTGATGCACAGCTGGCCCCACCCCTGTGGAGCAGGCGAGATGCTCATGTACTTTCCAGAGTCAGTGCTGCCTGCTCTTGCTCAGGCCATTGCAGAAGGTGCCATCCCTGGGATGGAAACAGTGGCAGTGGCAGCCTTGTGTCCCAGCCCTAGAACCATATGGATGATGTTCCTTATCTTGTGAATGAAGTTCCTGTCTAGTTCGATTATCAAGTTCTGGATTGTTTGACAAAGTAAAAGGTCAGCAGATAGATAGCAAGGTATCAGTTTGTTACTACTCATAAAGCAGTGTCCTTTATATAAACTCTGGGCTGTGGGCTTCCTCACTGCTAACTGGAATTAGCACTGCTTACCCTGAAGGAAGGAGCCCTGGGTCAGGGCGTGCACCCAGCAAGCACATCTTTATTTTTTTTATTTTTTTGAGACAGAGCCTCAAGCTATTCCCAGGATAGAGTGCTGTGGCATCACAGCTCACAGCAACCTCCAACTCCTGGGCTCAAGCGAGTCTCTTGCCTCAGCCTCCCAAGTAGCTGGGACCACAGGCGCCCGCCACAATGTCTGGCTATTTTTTGGTTGCAGCTGTTATTGTTGTTTTGGCGGGCCTGGGCTGGATTCGAACCCGCCACCTTAGGTGTATGTGACTGGCACCTTAGCCACTTGAGCTACAGGGGCTGAACCTCCTTGTATAAATTTTAAAACCTACTAGGATAATACCTGTTCTTTAAAGAATAGTTGTAAAATAATGATAAAGAACAAAAGGAGGGACTGAGCAGTGGCTTGTGTCTGAAATCACAGTGCTTTGGGAGGATCGTTTCAGGCCAGGTATTTAAGACCAACCTGGATCCTGTTTCTATGGAAAAATAAAGAAGAAAAGGAAGCAATCTCAGTTTCTGCACCTAGAGAGTCACCTTCTTCTAGCTCACTTTGTGCCATATGCACAAATGATCATTTTACAGCAAGATTGGTTCTCTGTGCTCTTGAAACACTTCTTCAAGGAATGGTCTGTACTTTTCTCTGCTTCCTCAACTTTAGTTTTCCTCTTCACCCTATGGGATTTTATTTCTCCCTACTGCCCCATCCACCCTGTCTTGTTTAGAGCCTGGTAGACACAGAGCCTCTCAGTGGCCCTCAGGATGCTAGGCTGGCCCTCTTTCCTATTCTCTGGGTCTCCTACCTTGAGGAGCTGAGTATCATCCAATGTGCTGAGCACTTGGCCAATTCTTACCTCACCCCACAGTGGGCACCAGCTGTTCCATTTCATAGACAAGGACATTAAAGGCCAGACAGGTCAGTTGCTGAGAGGATGAGCTGAGACCTGAGCTCTCAGGCCCCTTCCTCATACATCCAGCCCGCAACACTGACCACACCTATGTTGGGCCCCAGCCAGGTCCCTTCAGCACCAGGTCTGCTGACTTAACTCCCTGCTGGGCTAGTCTCTGTGACCACAAGGTCCCTTACATGCAGCATGCCCTCACAGCTGTGCTCTTTAGAACTCTCTTGTCTCGGCTGGTGAGGATGACCCACCTATGGCAGCCAAGGCTCCTCTGTTTCTTCCCTTCCAGCCTTCTTTTTCAGCTGTCATGCTTAGCCAGCTGGGCACTCCATAATCTCTCAATCATAGTTATCACCTGGACTTAGGTCCAGTGGTGGGGCTATCTTTGTGCCTGCCACCAGCCACGTGTTGGTGAGAGAATGAAGGTCATAACAGTGACCTCACTCATGCACTTCCTGTGTGCCAGGTGCTGCTCTGCTTCCTGACAGAAAACTCATGGGATGGGCAGGTACCCTCACCTGCACATTCAAATGAGAAAACCTAAACATAGAGAGAGGCCAGGTAGCTTGCCTGGGGTGACAGACATCCCCTCCATGTCTGCCAGATGCTTAAGAGGGAGCACAGTGATTTCATCATGAGACTACACATAATAAACAGGATTATTTTATATTGGGTCATACATTTTTATTAAAAAGTACATTATTCACAAAGACTGGTATTTCTTTTTTTTTTTTTT